AATTGATATAACATTACTGATGTCGTACACACCCTTCAGTGTGAAATGTGGCTCTCTTTGCAAGCACATCTCACATCTAAGGAAAGAAGAGCTTAGATTGGTACCAAATAAAATAATTTTGTTATCAACATTAATACATTATGCTAATTTTCATCTTTGTAAGCGCATAAGACAGTGAAAATTATTTCTGTGACAGTCTTTTGAAGTGTGTAAAGCTCCATTTTAACCCATATATTCAAAATATTTGGGAGGGGGATGACACAATGGACCATCCCCCTTGTCAAATATTGGGGGGGGGGATATATCCCCCCCCCCCCGGATCTACGCCTATGAAGAAGAGGAAAACAACAACTTAAGCTAGACATTTAAAAAAAATCCCAAAATGTAAGTACTTAAATAAAAGGAAATTTTTTTTTTTAAATTTATCTATTTCTTTATTCTTTCTTGTTTCTAAATTAACTTACTAGTTCGTAGCGCTGTCCAGAATGCGAAAAAAAAATGAGTTACTTTCATCATTGATTTTGGCAACCTTACGGCAAGATATGACTTTCAGCAAATGCGATAATTTGACGCAAGAAGAGCGCCTAAATCGACTTTTTCTGTTTATGTTTGAAGAAACTCTTACAACAAATTACACTTGTTTTACCACTCTCTGTGTTCTGTTACAATGTCTGAAAATGAAATTGAGGACAAGTCTAAAAAAATATTTAATAAGGTAGGCCTAATGTACGATTGTAGATTTTGTAAATAGCAAACAGACTAAAAAAAAAAGTTATGGTATTTCAATCAAGCCAGCCTCTCGTCTAGACCTAGGCCTAGCCTAGGCCCCATGCGTTAGGCTAGGAATCACCGGTCCATGTAAAAAAGGTAGGCCTCCTAGGGCCTAAGTTTGATCACCTTTGCAAGGAGAATAAGTGTTCCCAATTAGCGCCCAGTAATACTTGATAAGACTACTAGGCTGTGAGTGTAGCATATTATAGTTAATAGTACTACCTAGCTAGGCCTGACGTCCGGTTCGGCCGGGCACCTGTTCAGTTCGGCCGGGAGATATTCAATGCCCAAATAAGGGTTATTGTATGGAACGCCGAGTAGTGTAATCAATGCGTGAATTAGATATCACAGTGTAACGTTGGCCGCAGGTTAAGGGTAAATCATCCATAATAAAATCGAATTGTTGAAATATTAAGATAAAAATGTATTGTTTGTTTTTACTTTTACTTAGAAGAACACTAGGGGCCTATACCGTTTAAATATGTAATTAAGTACGTTATTATTATGATTGATTGTTTTACGGAGTAGTTTTAATAGCATAAATTTTAGTTAAGAAGTGTTTTACATTTATTTTATCCTGCAAAATAATCTAAGTTGAAACTTTATTGCTTGAAAGAAATTTAATTTAACTATAGCCGTAACTTATCAAGAAACTTGACTTTGTATTTTGGAATATTGTATATAATAATATAATTAATTAATCCTGCATTATACAGTAATTATATATGTACCTAAACAAGCGTTCCATAAAAAAGTGATTAATTGGTTACCATATTTAAATAATTAATTAATAATTAAATCTAGGCATGAATGGAAATGACTTGCTTTAAATAGGTATCAAGCTGCCAGTACTAAGTTGCCTAGGTAACAATTAATTCAGTGAGAAACGTTCCCACAAGTAGGGTCCAATGATAAGCTAGGGCGGCCTAGTGTAGGCCTAGGCCTACAGTAGTACTGTATGTAGTAGTTTACTGTATGTGTATCTTCTTCACTTCAGTTTGATGCCTAGGCTTATTACAGTACAGTAGACCAACTTGAACTAGCTAGAGAGCTGACTAGAGGTGACGAAGCAATGTAGAGTTGTGTATGTTGTACCATACAACATTTTGCAATGATGAAGGACTATTATTACTTTACTTTACCAGTCTTTTTAAAGAACTTTTTAATGTCAAATATGATATATAATTGTTTAGTCCCCTAGGCCCATAGACATATTTTGGAATCACAGTACCCAGTTTTTGTTTTTGCTGTTATTTTTATTGTCATCATTTTGTTAAATTGATATTTATTTTTATTATTATTACTGTATTATTGCTCTATACTATTGTCAATGTAAATATAATCATTTAATATTGTTCCCTCCATGTATCCGCAATTACTTCTATAACAGAGGCGTAAAGAAAAGCAATCTTGATGGGATTTATAGTAGCCCCTGAAATCTAAAAAAATCAACTTTTTACTTGTTTATAGGCGAATATATTATATCGAATTTCGCAAGGTTTGTGTACATTATAGTGGGTATTACTTTTGAGAATTTACAGTGCGATCAGTATTAAGGTATAGGAAAAGGTAATGTACTGTATGAAAACAACTGCCCACCATTATCATGGGAAAATAGCCAGGAAGGAATGGCACTATGATTGTTCAAAATATTGTTTATAAATACTTATTCTAGCATTCTCTGTGCTTTGTATGCTTTAAAATTTGTGAACCTTAACTAGCCTAGAAATTGTAGCATGTCAAAATTGTAGTCGCGGAACAAACACCCTCGTGCATACCTACTGTACAGTAAACAGGCCGCGTAGAGATGCAGGGGCCTACTGTGTAGGCCTAGCTTCTTTTGAAAAATCTTATCTTTTGTAGCATAAAGCAAACCATTTCCTATTACTGAGCATCACTCGCGTTGCCTGTTTACAATTGATACCCACTATACCTCATGTGACCAACCTAGCGGAATGTGTCTATTTTTAGTATAGCAAAGGGGCTAACAAGTTAATATACTGTACAGTATGCACATTAAGTCGTTTGAAATTTGGATTTAAGTTTTATGAGTAAGACACGAATAGGTTAAGGCCTAACTAATTAATAGGCTCTTTAACGGACAAGTTTACCGATTTATATATATAATTTGAGAGCTGATTAAATATAATGGGTACATCCCATTTTTGAAATTACGAATCTTGTGTGCGTTTGTTACGTAGACGCTCTAAACTAAATTTGCGTTGACGTGCCAGGTGCATCGCTCCATTTGAGTTTAGCTACAGGCTATATTATAATGCATTTTCGCGTTTTTTTTTTCCATTTTTAATTACATTTATTATGTTTTATTACATTTTATTTGCACTAAAAATTGTTACTAATGGTAATTACTTTAGTTTTCTTTGCCGGGCATACACAGGCAGCATTGTACAACATTTATACAAAGGCAAATCTTGGCCGACAAATCCATCTCTGCTCTTTTGTGAGTGGTTGACGATGCGACACCGTCTTCTGATTATCAGTAGGGTGCTTTCAATTGGACGACAGTGGCAGGACCTCCAATCTAAAGATGTCACATAAAGTCATCTTGAGCCTACGTAGAGAATGTAGGTTGGTCACAGATGAGCGAATCCATTCTTGAGTTGCGTCGTTGCGCAAATTAAAAGCTTGCTAATGGCAGTCTGAGCGGATTGTCATTAAAATTAATCTTTTGTGCTGCTCATCGCAATGTTTCCATGTACACATGTCAGTGCAGAGTGTTCTCGGTTTTTGTCTATTTATTTTTTGAGCTCAGTTATACTAAAGCCACAATCGCACTGGACTTTTTTTGGTAAAACTAACCAACATGTTGGCTAGTTTTACCATAATTAGTCCAGTGCGAACAGCACAGGAAGTTTACCTGACAGGAAACTTACCCAAGCCACGCGGTTAATTTAACCGAGTCCCGCTTGCCCAGGAAAACTGACCAGGTTAGTTTTACCTACAGTAGCAGGAAAGTCCAATGCGAACAGCGCAAGTCAGGTAAACTTCCCAAGTCATCACAGTGAATGACCTTCCTCAGGCTGTCAGGCAATTACGCATGAGCTGTGACCTGGAATAAAACGTCACACACAAACATCTTGATTAATTTCGCGCGTGTTTGCTAGTGTCTTGATTTTGAGTAATTTTGTCATTTTTTTCACTTGTTTACTCAGTTTGTTTCAATGGCCGATTTATATGGAGCATTAATAAATGTGCTTCCGTTAATTGTTTTGCCACACATACCGGAAGAGAACGTCACGATTTAGCGCCCCCAATAGTTGAATCTGTACGAATGGTTAGTTTCACCATGGCCTGTGGTAAAACTAACCACGTCGATAAATCCCAGTGCGAACGACAGGAAGTTTACCCATTGGAATGTTACCCACAGTCTCGGTAAAAATTTCCCTATTTTAAATCCAGTGCGATTGCGGCTTAAAAGAATGAAGAATTAAACTGTATGAAATTTAGAATGAGTGGACACCTTTTAAGGGGACACTTTAGTTTGTTCTGAGGTCCTCTTAATAGGAGAAATGTATTGCACCTAGATTCAAGTTTTTCAAATATAACAAATATAACATTTCATATTAGGTTTTAAATGACTTTATCATATTATTTTATTTTATAGTTTATTGATGCAGTCAAGGATCGTATTCAGCCTGATAAACAAGTTTCCATTCCAGCATTTTTACGCAAAAAATATGAAAAGGCTGCGGTGAAATATACATCTTCAAAGGATTTTCAACACATGATTCTAGAACATTTGATAAACATCAGAAAAAGGAAAGGATCAATATACACACACATCCACGAAGTTGTAGGTATACTAAATGCTTCGAAACAGAAAAATGGAGAAATAAATAGTAAATCAAACTCTGATCATAAATATGATGAATTGGAAGAAAATACTGGAGAAGGAACATCAGTTGATGATGAAACAAACACAAAATCTCGGCGTAAAAAGCAAAAAAAGCAGAAGCGTAGAGTAAAAAAGCTGGAATTGCATTTGAAAGAATTATCAAAAGAAATCAAGCGGTTAGGTGAGAAAGAGTTAACCCTTGAAGATATGGATGATGAAGAGTCAGATCATATAATGGAACATAGACTCAAGTTACGCTTCAATCGTGTCTGGGAAAAGCTGTGTGAACTTAAAGGTCTTCCACCAAGCACTGGTAGAGTTACTGAGCAGTACTTGATATTTGAGGGAACTCGCTTTAAGGAAATTAACCAGAAACTTGAGAAGTTGATGAACTCCTCAGAATTTCCTAACTTCAAGGATATTCTTGTAGTTGTAAGGAAAGTAAACAAAAGAAAAAGTCTGAATCTGAGTGATAGAGAACTCTCTGACATTGCAGAGACATCCTTTAAAACCATTGGTAATCGTTTACAGCAACGAAGAGAGGTTGATCTTGCTTACAACTTTGGATCACATGTAACAGAAAGTTTTAAAATTGCAGATGATCCTGCAAGATCCGATCCAGAGTTAAATAAGAAACTGAAAGAAAATCACAAACTTGGCAAGGAAAGATTAGATAAATGGATAAGTAAATGCTCAGAAAAGCAAGATTTAGGTGAGGATTATGCAACTGGATCAAGCCATGATGAACCACCAACAAAACGAATTAAGAAAGATAGCAGCAGTGAAAGCTCTGATGAGTCTGAGAAAGAAGATGAAGAGGATGACAATGAGGATGAGGATGAGGATGACAAGAAATTGGAGGAAGAAATTATTTGGGATGATAACCTAGATGATGAACTAGAGGGAAGCACCAGTGAGGATGAGGAAGAAGTTGTCACCTCATCAATAGCTTCAAGTGAGGTGAATACTGAGGATGAGCAATTTTTACCTGATCAGAATACATTCAGTTATCAGAAAAGTGTGGAGAATGATAGTGGAGTGCAATGCACTAATATTGTGATGGCTAATCCAAGCACCCAGATGACTAATCCAAGTAACCAGGTGGTTAATCCAAACACCAAGGTGGCTAATTCAAAAAGCCAGGTGGAAAGTACTCAGGCACCCAATCCAAGTACAAAAGTGGCTAATCTAACTAGCTCCACAGGCAAGTAGAAGGCACGTGGCTTGCATTTCACGCACTTGAATAGCTTCCATTCTTTTAACTACTTGAAAATAAAGATTTAATTTTTTATTTGTGGAATCTGCAATTTTGATTCTTCAATATCATTTTCTTTTTCAATTAGTTGATGTTTTGTATTTAACATGTTATTAATCTTTTAACTGCTGTCTGTTCTCTACTGCATAACTGTTTAGCAATTAATCTTTCTTATTTACAACTTTTAAAGCTTGAGCTTGTTCATTACAGTATACCCCTATTATTAGAAATTTCAATTATAGAAAAAGAAATTTACAATTTTAAACATTCCTAATATTTTTATCTTTTTTATTTATACATTGCACTTTTCATCCACATCTGTGCTTTCATTATATCTGTATATTACACAAATTACTAATAATAATTACTATTTTATATTTGTGTTGTCTACTTTACTAATTCTTTTTATGTTTTATGCAATTTTACCATGTAATTCAGCATTTTTTTGCCAGTTGGTTTACACTCTTTACATTGCCTTCACCAACAACATTGGTAATCAGTGTAATGCCTTTGATAATAATAATAATAATGCCACTATCAAAATATTGGGGAAAATGTTGGGGGAAAAAAAGGATTTCTTCCATTTTGTTAAATTTATAACACAAAACATTTTTCCTACAGATGATTATCTTAAATGTGAGCTAACTGATTGCAAAATGGATGTCAAAGTTCAATCACCTCAAGAGGTTACAAGTTCTACAAGTCCAAAGCAACAGTCTGAAGTGATGGACTCACCAAAGGTGACAGAAGCTTCACCAGACATCATTGTTCTATCTAGCTCGGATGAAAGTCCACCAAATTCTCCAGTTAATAAACGCTATAACCGTATGATGGGGTGTGCGAAGGATATACCACCTCCAGTTTCCTCAGAGGAGGAAGACTGTATATATATATCTGATTAAGATAACTGACATGACTTTGTCTATTGACTTTGTGTTCATACATCTATCAATCTGTATCTGTGTCTGTCTACATCCATCTGTCTTCAGGTACATCCATTTGTCTCTGTGTCTGCCTACATCCATCTGTCTCTGTGCCTATCTACATCCATTTGTCTCTGTGCCTATGTTGGTCCATTTTTGTTTCTGTTTCTTGACTTTTCCTATGTCTACCTGTCTCTGTGCCTCCGTCAATCTGTCCTGCTGTGTCAGTTTGTGTGTGTGTTTGTCAGTGTATATCTGTGTCTACGTCAATACTGTAATAGAAACTACAGTACAACTTGTGAAGGATTATTAACCGTTATACTGTAAAATTACAGTTACTTTTTATCAGAAATTGTTAGAGATTCTCATATAAAAGTTAGTATAGATTGAACAATTATTTTTGGGGTTGGTAAAATTGTAACTACTGTAATTGTAACCACCACATTTCCCTTTTGAATTTGAATTTTGTAATGTGTTCTGCTTTTTTATTTTAACTGGAGTATTTTTATTTTAACTGTAGTATTTTAAATATTGAAACAATTTAATATTATTACTTTAAATTATTCTTTTCATTTTTAATTTTCCTTAAATTTGCAATACAGTTATTTTGAATTTGAACCATGGGACTACTGTATAATATTTTAAGGTATCAATTGATAACTAAAGCTTGAAAAGTCACATTAGTCTTTTTTTTACTAGTACAAAACATACTTATTTTTGCTACCCTTTCCCTTGTCCAGAAAGATTTCCATTTGTTCTCATAAAAATGCTACATACAGTATACCTACACTTTTACCTTCCCCCACTTAAATTAAGGATGGTCATTGAACCCTACATTTTTAAGGCTAAAATTAGGGTGTGTTTAGTTCTGAAACCTAGGCTATTAAATGAATTTAAAGGGATCTATTTTGAATAGCCTACACCATCTGTGAGGTCCAAGGTTGAAATTGTCAACACGATGTTTGCAGAAATAAAATTAAATTGGTGATTTTTTTTTTAGTTCCCATTGCATTGTTTACTTGCTTAATATTTTTTCGTACAATTACCATTATAATAAATCTTATTTATACAGTATAAGCAATCATGATAACAGTTAAAGTACTCATCTGCGTTAAATAATATTTCAGTAATCAGGAAATGTACGCTATCTACCACGAGTACTAAAGTTTTGTCTGATTGGCTTCAAACGTGGTAAAACGAAAACTGACCTTTTGGTTTTGGTACGTGTGTGAATATGCTAATTAGTCATTTTCATAATATTTTAATAATCAGGAAATTTACGCTTATTACCATGAACATTTTTAGATAAGTCAAATGGTATTAAAGCGACGAAGCCTATTGTTTTTAATACGTGTCTGAATATGCCAATTGTTCATTTTTAATATTTCACAAAGCTTTTTACACTAAATACAGTACAGTACTATCATAATCCCCATAAAATATTTTACATTTAGTTAAAATTGTAGAGATAGTAATAAAGTGAAGGAGCTGTTGTTTTTGGGACGTGTGAATTTATGCTAATTTCTCTTTTGCATAATTAGTATCTTACTAATTTGGAAATTGGGCTAGTTACCATAGTTTAGTAAGTCTGGTTTGTTTCAAAATGCAAGATGGCAATACTGTATTTAGTGACTAGCCTTTTATATTTTGGTACGTAGGCATCAATGCCCAGAAATCTGAATTTCACGCAAAACCGAACGTCCCAAAATTATTCCTATTCTTCCTTTAAAAAAACTGATCTCCCTATCAGGAAGCTCTATTCCTTGAATTTATCCAGTACAATTGCCTAGTAACAGTAAGTTAAATGTGAAACGTTCCCACAAGTGGTTCCAACGATACTCTTGGGAGAAGCAGGTCAAGTCTTTGTACGTGGCCAATTCAGGAATGTTATCAGAAAGAATGTCAATGCTGAAAATGGCCGACTGGTTGGTTCAGATAAACTTGTGCGATTTAGTGAATGGAGTTGTTCGCCTATATTTTAGTAGCGGTGCTTTTTAATCTTGTATATTAATTATACAGTATTTGTATTTAATTTTAATTCAGACATTGATAATCATAATCTTTAACTTGTTGACATCTGCTTGCTGTTTATATTTGTTTTCTGTTGTGTGTTATAAAACAGTACTGTAACAGTACTGTAATATTAAACAGTTTTTGTGTCTGATGTCATGATCATAGAGCTACTAGAGCGCTGACAAGATGGCAAAGCTCTATGTGTACCATCCAAGATGGCTGCCGTAGGAAAGCGCCACCTTCAGGCTTACTATACATATTATTACCATAAATAAACCCTCTGACTGACTATTATTTCATTAACGATAATTATTATTGATAATAACAAATTATTAAACTATCGTAGCCAAAAACAGGCCAAGTAGAGCATCTTATTCAAAAATAATACAAAAATTAAAATCGTGTACATTGCACCCATACACCGCAGCGCTCGAGTTTCAAACATACGGGTAACTAGCTGTACTGAAATTTCGGTGTAATTCAGGGCGCCACTCCAGGAGTTACTCATTTTTAAGGTGTTTTTAGTGTAATATAGTAATAATACAGAATATTGTCATAAATGAATATTGTTATGAAAGAAAATTTTCATGAAAAATCCAGATACATTACAATAATACACACATCTGCATATTGAAGAACATAAGATAAACTTTAAAAAAGAAAAACTCCTGTATAAGGCAGTATACACACACGCTCCCATGGGAGCCTATTTTTAAACAGGTGTCACACGTGCTCAGCCTGATGAATTCGCTTTGGGTAATTCATCACTCTCCAGACGTGCACTTGTTCTGCACGATTAGGAATGTTTTGACCCTATCCAGTGCAAGGCAACTTCAGGATCGTGTATACTACAGTCATTTTCTTAATGGATGCCGTTCGTGTTTAAAGAGCGTTTGCAGTTAAGAGCAAGATATTTCGTTATTATGTTTCTGAAATTTACAAAATCAATGAAAAGCAGTTCCGGTCGGCAGCCTATCAGCGCCGGTAGAATGGTGTCGTACGTTAACATCTTTATTATTATAAATGTCCAAATACAGAGATAAATTTAACAACTAAGGCCTAATAATAATAGACCTAATATCAATAATAATGGGCCCAATAGTAATTAATAATATTAATAATAATAATAACAATAATAATAATAGTAACAATAGAGTAAATAAAATATAATGATGTGTTGAGAATAAAGCATAACTATTAATTAAATTAATTGATAATATAGTTCATTAGTTTACAAAAAACTTAATATACATGAAATCAGATGAATTATCGTCTCTGCAACGTAGACCTACACTCATCGAGGAAGGCTATATTGTTTACTGTATACCCATGTCAACTGACGCGTTTAAGCAAAGATAAGACCATTGTTGTGAGCGCACATTTATGTTCCCGAGGGGAGAATACTACTACTGAAAGTATCTTTTTAGAAATAAATTATCAACCTAAAAACATAATTATCGGAGCTATATATCGTTTTCGGAGAATTCCCCATCAACTTATTTAGTAGTAACGTCTCTCAAATTCTTCATATTATCAATAGGGAAAATAAGATTGCGTATCTCGCTGGAGACTTCAATATTAACCTCCTAAACTGCACAGACAATCAAATATCAGAATTTATTAATACAATTTTTAATTCAAATTTTTACCCTCTAGCACCGAAACCCACGCGAATAACAACAAAAACAGCTACACTTATTGATAACGTATTTACAAATAATATTTTAGACAAAATCTCCCCTGGTATTTTAGTGTCCGATATATCTGATCATTATCCCATATTTTTCTTAATACATAATAATAGATTCCAAATATCTAAACCAGCTATAAATAAAAATTCCGATTATCTATATATCACAAAAATTACGAATAATAATTTGACTGCACTAATTAACGATCTTTCTAATCTCAACTGGGATGATGTTCATAATATCAATGATGATCCAACCCGAGCCTACAATGTATTTAATTCAAAATTTAACCATTTTTACACAAAAAATATCAAGAAACATCGCTGTAAACGGAACTATCGTAAAGAACAAAAACCTTGGATTACTGACGGCTTAATTAAATCAATTGATGCAAGAAATAAACTTTATAAAACATATCTAAAAACAAAAAAAAAGACAAAATTAATTATATTAACTACAGGAATAAACTTACTAAGTTATTAAAGACTACAAAAAAAAAGTATTACATAGAAAAATTTAAATTATATAAATTTAATATACAAAAAACCTGGCAAGTAATAAACAAAGTACTGGGTAAAACCAAAAATAATCCATTGCCATCATATTTTATTCACAATGAAGATAAAATTACTAATCCTTTAAGCATTGCATCTCATTTTAATGATTATTTTGTTAACATTGGTCCAAATTTAGCAAGCAGTATAAAGATTCCCGATTTTAATCTGAATATTCTTCATTCCTACCCCAACCTATACAAAATTCCCTTTTTCTTTCTCCAGTCTCTGAAGACGAGATGGTCGATCTAATCTCCAAACTAAATGAAAAGAAGAGTACAGGAGTTGACGGATATCTAAGCAAAGTTATAAAATCTATTTCCCCATATATGGTAAAACCTTTGACCCATATTTTTAATATATCCCTGATTAATGGAGTTTTTCCAGATCCCCTAAAGGTTGCAAAGGTAATCCCTGTTTTAAAGAAAGATGATCCTCATAAATTCAAAAATTATAGACCAATTTCCTTACTTCCCTGTTTATCAAAACACGGACCTATTAATAATTATTAATAGGTCCATGATCAAAATTCTTAGAACGTATTATTTATAACAGACTAATAGATTTTTTAAACAAACATGATGTCTTATTTAACGGTCAGTATGGTTACAGAAAAAGCTACTCTACTGAATTTGCATTAATTGATATTTATGAACAGATAACAAGCGCCCTCTCTAAACAGAACTATACAATCGGTGTTTTCCTAGACTTGTCAAAAGCCTTTGACACTATAGATCATAATATTCTTCTGCGTAAACTTAATAACTATGGTATAAGGGGTATTCCCCTTCAACTTATTAAAAGCTATTTATCTAACCGTTTCCAATTAACCTCTGTACATTCTTATGAATCTCAACTTTCACGTATCATCTGTGGCGTACCTCAGGGTTCAATTCTTGGCCCTTTATTATTTCTTATTTACGTTTACGATATTCCCAATTCCTCTAAATTACTTAATTTTATTCTTTTTGCAGATGATACAAATATTGTGTATTCTCATAACGATAAAAACTTATTATTTGATACATTAAACATTGAATTAGATTAAAGTCCCAAACTGGTTCAAATTAAACAAATTGTCCCTAAATGTCTCAAAAACTAATTATATTATATTTAAAAAAACCAAAAAGGCTAAATTTAATTATGATTTGTATATTGATAAAAATAAGATTTCCCGTGTTACTGAGACCAAATTCTTAGGAATCACAATCAATTCCAATCTTGATTTGAAACCCCATATTAATCAAGTAAGTAATCTATTATCATGTAACATAGGTATGATGAGCAAACTAAAACTTTATTTTCCTTCCAATATTCTTATTGCTTTATATAATACTATTGTTTTACCATATCTCTCATATTGCAATATTGCTTGGCAATTAACATCGACAAGTTTGAATACCTATGTCCTTGGACCAGTACTCAATCAACTAAATTAGATCGACTATTTCGTCTTCAAAAGCGGGCTCTCCGGATTTGTGCCGGAACTTCCTTCAGATCTCATACTAAGCTATCTTTAAAAAATACAACATTCTTAATATCTATGACCTTAATAAGCTCCAAGTTGTTTTGTTTATGTTTCGTCTTTCTAAAAATTCTATTCCATATCGTTTAAAAAACCTTTTTACCGAAGCCTCAAGTATTCATAATTATCCGACTAGATTTTCCCAAAATACAAATTACATAATTAACAATAATTACTCAACTGAGCTAAGACGCCATTCTATTCCGTATTATGGCCCCAAATTATGGCTGAATCTTCAAGACGACCTAAAAACAAAATTTGTTATTATGATATGCATAGGAAAAAAAAGTTATTGGTTCTCACGAGATTTACATATAATATAATCATATTTGTTTCATTTATTTTGTTGTTGTGTTATTTATTTATTTATTTTTTTAAATTTTTTTTATGTTTATGTTTCCCTTTCTTTGTTTTCCCTTTCTTTGTTTTGCTTTAAAAACATAAAATTAGTAATACAATTTAAACCATTATGTAAGGGGGCTATGGCTTAAAGCTGATCAGACGAGTCTAATCAGCTTATATAGCCTCCTCCACAAATCAAATCCGATTGTTTGACGATTTATTATATCTGTATACTATTATTATTATTATTATTATTATTATTATTATTATTATTATTATTATTATTATTATTATTATTATTATTATTATTATTATTATTATTGTTATCATATGTATAATATATAATATTATTGATTTGTGGAAATAGACATTGAACATAGAACTCCAGTTCAGTTCAATTGTAGGTGTTGAGGTTGGAACTGACTGTGTGTTTTGTTAAAACATCTTGACACGAAAATAATGACAGAATCAGTGTTTCATCTAGCTACTACAAACTAACAATTTATTGTGTCCAGCTACATATCTACTCCGTTTGAATAACTATAGAAGAGTGACTCACATCAATGGGATAAAATAGGCTACAGGTTACTGTACAGTATATGTACAAATGATGATTTATTATATTATGTGGTCTAGGACCAATCTTACGATCTTACGATTTCCTGACCTCATCCCATTGGTATGTACTGTACACTTTCACATGTGAATGAACTGATTGTTCTAATTCTAGTTCTAGTAACCATGGTGATTTGTTATGCAAAATGAGGACATGTATCTCAAGAGTAGGCGATCAGCCCTGCCGTACTTCACCGGTAATTCCCCATACTCGTGGGAATTCCTTTGCTTAGGCCCCACCAACGAATTTTTACACCCGGTGAGAAAAACAGAATTTCCCACGAGCGTGAGAAAAAGAGACTGAATTAATGTTAGATAAAACTTATAGACACTCAAGTAACATGCATTTAAAATTAGTACAGCATGCATGTTTTATAATCAGTCATACAATCGCCGATATTTTACTGTTAAAAGTGATATATTGTGTCCTTGAAATTTTAAAAATTTGACTTGGAACGTCGTGGAATTGCCCTTGAAATGTGCTTGTTTAAAAACGTACGAACCTGTCGATTGAAATGACTTGCCAGTAAACGTTTTTCTGGTTAAGAATAAAGTGAAAGATATGCTTTCCGTTGCTTTATTAATGTGTATTCCTGCTTTAGTCCTAAAAATCAATTTAATGACGTTTTATTCGGAATTGGACGCCATCGTAGTGTAACAAATGAACAACACTCATTCTTTAAACTCGCACTTCTCAAAATAAGCTCCCAGCGGGAGCGTGTGTCTACTGCTTGACAAATCGATGTTTTAGGTCTAGGCCAGGCACGACTTTGCCGAATCCCAGTTTGCCGACTCAAAATCAATGAATCCCAGTTGGCCGAACCCCAGTTTGCCGAACCCAGTTTGCCGAAAGTCAGTGAAAAAGCAGTGAATATTAACAGCAGCATAAAATTCACGATGGAATACTCCCTTCTCTTACCATGGACCTATTTAATACTAATAGGTCCATGTTTTTAGCATGACTGCATCTGTACGAAGTGGTGGCGATATTTCTTTTTTTCTTTCTTTATTATATATATATATATATATATATATATATAATATTTGTTTAAACCATTAACATTAGATTTAAGACAGAGGAACCAACTGATCTCATCACATCAGTTCTTGCCTTAGTAGATTTGAAATTGGTTCTAGTCTAAATCACTGATAGTATGGCTCGGTAAATTAAACTGGTGAGCAACTCAGGGAAGCCATGTTGATGGTATTTAACTAATTTGTTTGGAGTTGTCATACATGCAAACATTTTGATAGTGAGAAACGGGGGAATTTGGTGCGAAACGCCACCGAATGCCTTGGCGTATGGGAGAGGGGTGTGTCCCCATTAAGTGGGTTGTAACACCCTGAAAGCTTTAGCTCTTTATGTAGACGTATTATAAGGGTAAATCTCATGATTTTAGCAACTGTAACTTCATGTCTAATTATTCAACGTAAGGTTTGGTGCACTTACGTCCCTATTCTGTATTCAACAATATCGTAATTATTAGGCCTATTTACAGTACCTTCATTTAAAACCATTTCAGACACTCCTCCACTCACGGAGACGCGAAAAATATTGAAAGACAACGTAAATATTGAAGTTTTTCGTAGTATGTTATTGGGAAACAAAAGACAAAAATAATATATAAGTACGCCTATGCAATTTTCTCTGTAAACAGACGGGGGACAGATCCTGGTGCCACCCCTCACAATTAGTAGGCCCTAGCCTACTAGTACTAGTCAATGTTGGCGACCTAGCCTAGCTATACACTTGTAGCTAGGGCTACTAAGAGTCTACGACCGGCGGGACAATGACAAAGATACCAACATAGACTAACCTATACTGAAGTAATGTAAACTGAAACTCGACAATAAAAAAAAAATAGAACACACTCTTCCTTATTTAATATTTGTTTTAATAAATCTGTTTAATTAAAACATTCTCGATTACACTGAGCACCAGCTAGTTTCTGTCACGCGCGCACTATGGAACTTTAGGCGATCTGACGTACGGGTGTACGGTTATGTTAATGTTAAATAATGTTAATGTTAAATAATGTGTTATGTTAATGTTAAATAATGTGTTTTTAAGTTAAAACTTTGAGTAAGCTAATTATAATCAACACATCGGGGCTTTTCATGCCTATTTCAATAGCTAGGCACTATAGTCAATACAACAGTAAAGGTTCGGTACGGAAAACCAAACAGTTCGGAGGGGTGTCGGTATTGGAAGAGTAGATTGCAACTTACGACATACGATCGTGAGCCGTCATTCCACAACGCGGACCTGGTTTAACTAACATGTTGCCGTGCAACAAGGATTGGAAACGGCTGAGTATTTTATTCACTTGTGCTAGTAAATTTGGAACTTCGACTTGTGTGTTGTGTTATAGTAAATTTTAACTTAATTCGAATTGAACAAACAATTTACACAGTAATACATAGGAAAGAAATGGGTTTCGACTAACATACATTAATTACTACGTTCATCACTATAAACTATTATTTTTCCAAGTAGGCCCCTGCAATAGAGGCTGCAAAAACCACCTTTTCAGTATTTGCTGGATCTGTGGTTTAATGCTTGCCGTTTATTTTTTTTTCAGAAATCTATATATTTGAAACATTTTTTGATTCAAATAAGTTTAAAAAAAGAACAAAAAACAGATAAAACAGGTGCAACTTGCTTTGAAAAACGAGCTTTCACAGCTCACTCTAGTCCCTTAAGATAATGTATTACTGTGCAGTAGTTAGTCGAAAACAATATAACCACTTTTTATGTTACTTAAACTATTAAAAAAAAACAAAAAAACAAAAAACGTATGCTTTATAACAATGAATTACACACATACATAAAACAAAATTCCATGTATCATTTTTTTGCCCCGAGTGTAGCGGGAAAACATTTTGTAAAATAGGTTTCAAGAAAACCATAAAAAAATACACCCTTATAACATTAAATGCTGAAGTAGGTGGGCTTTGCCTATATCCCAGGGCTCTACACGGACACAAACAACACCTTTACCCTTTACCCCTTCAAGGTAGTAGGACCCGAAGAAACCATGGCCCTCGGGCCTCTTTGTTACGCCTGTTCCAAAGAGAATATCCACATAATATGAAATAGATACCCTTTCCAAAAACCACTTTGGATTCGCCCCTAAAGAGGCATCAACGGCCAATTATTGGCTTACACAATCGCTACACAATTAAAATTTAAAAGATATACAGCATATATGTCTATAACAAGCATAACATGCAGATGCAATAGCCTAATATTTATAATGTTATAATAGGCTAATAATAATTATTAGTTTGGTAGTAGAAGTGAGTAATAGTAGGATGAAGGATAAGAGACTATTTCTAGTATAAAAGAAGAAGGATCTAGTTTGCGATGATCAAAGGTAGGTTGAGTACACAAACGAAGAAAATCAAAAGGTAAAATGGCTGAGTTGGTAAATTCAGAAAAAAAATTGAATTGCTCGTAAATAAAGGATATATTATGTACATTTTCAATTAAACCAAATAATTTGATTTTCGAGATTTACCTATGAAAATCCTTATTATTAACAAAGTTTAATTTTAAATTTGAATAATATGACTAATTACGAAAAACATAATGTGATTCCAGTAGGAATCTCTGACATGTGTATAACTTCAGAGAAATATTTATTCACCCATGATGACATAAACACTTTTCTAATTGTCTCTGAAACAAAAATTTTCTTTCAAATCCAGAGTTCATATTCGTTCAGCATCATTTTGTTCTTGACGGTCTGAGTCCGAATTCACGTTAGATTCATTATGAAATTTAATCTCAGTCTGAAAAATAAGAATGTCGTATATTTTTATTGTGTTTTTGTTAAATACAAACATAGCTCAGTGGCCGCTTTTTTCAAATAAGGTAGGCCTAAAACTTTATATATAAATAATATGAAATTAAATTTTAATACAGTGTATGCCTAATCATCATTATCATACGCCTATAAACTTAATTTCCATCAATGTTTGATAATATTTTGAGAAAAATATTGTCCCAATTGGGTATTAGAATTATTAATACTGTTCACTATGATCATCATCAACACCTGTAGCATCGTTATTATCAATATCATATCATCATTAATATCATAGATCATCAATATCATCATTATCAGGGAACAGTTAAATTTAACTGTTCCCTGATGATTATCAATACCATTTTTATTATTTATTTATTTCAACATATTCTTTTAGGGTGGTCCATCCAGCCAGAGTTGATCAAAAAATTTAGTGAAGCTTTTCACCAACTTCACTAAAATGGGTTTTTTTTATATTAGTCTTTATATTAGGAATAACATCAATAATACTAATTTGTTGGCTCCATTCTTATTTTTAATAAGTTATATAAATAATTTTACTCTAATTTTATTTCCTATAGGCCTACAATTGAATTTTATATTTTTTTCTTCTCTCTTTTGCCCATACCGACTACACCTTCCAAATATTTAGATATTCTCCTATTTATTTACTTTTTTTGTGAATTTTTAGTGTTTTTTATATATTTCTGATATATATATATATATGTATATGTATATATATGTGTGTGTATATATGTGATATTGATTCATAATTTATGCATTTTAGTTTGAAATTATGTTATATTAAATGCTTGCGGTACACAACGTAGATTTTGGAAAAAAAACTCAATATAACAACAGTTCTTTTCAGAACTATCTACGTGGTGTACCACAAGCATTTAATATAATATTATAACTTCGCCATGCCAACCTTCAAACAATATTTCATTAAACTATTTCTTATTTTGGACATCTTTTTTACAAGTTCTTTTGAATTAGTTTTGGTGTTCCTTTTCATCATTTAATTTGCATTTTATTCGTAACTGTTTATGATGAATAAATAAATTTGAATTTTATTCATTATCAATATCCTATTATTACCCATTTTCTTTTATTATCAATATCATGATATTATCACAGTAGTAGCAGTAGGTATCAGCAGCAGCAGAAACATGAACAGCAGCAATTGTAGCAGCAGTCACAGTAGCAGCAGAAGCAGCGGCAGCAACAGTGGCAACGACAGCAGCGGCAGTAGCAGTAGTAGTTCTTGGAGTTATGTCCTCTTCTTAACGATGTGTGTACCTTCATAAATGACGCTGGACAATAATTTCAAGATAAGTAAGCACTGCTTGGGCATCTGTATACAGAGTACAACATGGTATGACAGTACAAAGACAAATTACTATAAATTAAAAGAATTTATGGTTGCATTTACCTGTTGCTGACAAACCTCGGTATTATTTGCTAATGCAAGAATATTTAAGAGTAATTGGTTGACCTTATCTTCGGTGTTGTTGTCTGCATTTATCTCGGATTCTAGCACTCTCAAAATTTTCTTTAGAAGGTAAATATTCTTGGTCTGTTTTCTGTCTTTCTTTGACGTCGAACGTTGTAGTTTTGTATCTTAAGAAAATATGAGAAATTGTGTGCTTAAAATATGTAAGACTGACTGCCAGTCCTCTGGTCATAGAATGAGTAAAAGTACACTGCATTGACATGGTGTTCAGGTCTGTGAGTGTATACCGGTTTTGTACTCTAGTGAATTTGGCTTCCCGGCTGGAGAGTACCGAATGTAGGTTAGTATAGAAGTTACGATGCAGCGGCGACGGTAACATTGTCCATAAAGCACAAACATTCAAAGTAAACAGTGCGTCCAACGTCATCATTTATTTTATTTAGATGTTCTTACTGGAAACTGTTAAAAGGTGTTTTTGCATACACAGTGGCGTATCTAGGGGGTGCATGGGGGGCGCACGCCCTTCAAAAAATTACTCGCCCCCGCCCCCTAAAAAATATCACAGTCAAGTAGTTCACCTTAAATCACCTTTATTTACCGTCTTTACCCACCAGAACCAGAACATTGAACTAACGTAATTTAACTAACGTATCTGTTCACAATACTATCAAATATATATAAAAACCCAGGTATTAGATATGAAAACCCAGATAGACACCCACACCACCAACACACCCATACACCTTATGACATCCGTCCAAACAAGAGGGTTGTCATTTGGCCTTTTTGACGGCCATATTCCTCAATTTGGCCGTATAAACATTCGCCTGGCCGTAGAGTTTAAAAAGTCACGGTCAAATTTTGCCGAATTTGTGGAACGTTTACATTTGTTTCGATATAGGCCTAATATACGTATTCTTGTTTTGAATATGTGTTGTTTTTGTACAAAAGCTTTGATTATAATCGTGTAGCTTTATTTACATTGAACCGTCGTACTCGTACTAGCACTAAACCCCTTTGGCCAAGTTGACGCGTAAGAGAGTTCTCTGTTCACTTAAAAGATTTTTAATAATTTAAATTGTTCGGATGAAATATATATATATTTTATGAAGTTTATCCTCATTTAAGCTTTATGAAGACAGATTATTGTAAGTTTGTACATATTGTGTTTCTTTGTATATGTTCCAACCAAGTGAATGTTTCTACCTCTTTTGGTTGAGAATTGAATAAAATAAAATAAATTGTATATGCTCTGCAGTGTTATTTATGTAAAGAGACATATAAATGCTCGATGTGGTCATTCGGGTCCGATGGCACCTCAAATTTAAAGCTAGTGTTGCAGAAACTTCTTCCAAGTTACTCTGGAGTTGTATATGAGAATAATGAAGTTCTGATAGCGACATTGATTTTTTTGTTTTAAGTTCATGCAACAATAACATTCAGAGGCGAATTTAAAAAGTTTAGATAAAAAGTGTCTATTAAAGTTTTCATAGGCTTGTTTTCACACCGGTTTGTGTTACCTTACAATGTAACTTTTATTTTAATAAAGAAAGCCACGGATTTGCCATTATGATAATTCGATAACAGGCCCTTGAAATTATTGCTATAGATCGACTACAATGTAAGTTATTAAATCAAATTTAGATCAGTCTTAATAATGTGACTTTAAATAGGCCTACCTTGCAACTAATCAAAGAACATATTTAATAGTATAATGTAGCTGGGCATTTAACATATTGCGATTAATTATAAGAACAAAAAAGTGAAAAATTAACGTTCTGTGTATATCATTTTAATTTCTTCAATTTCAAACAGATGACCGTTGGTTTTCGTGTATTTTTTGTATTTTAAATTAATATTATGTACCAACTGTTCTCTTCTAATCCGATAAAAATCTGGCCGAATTTTTGCCGATATCGAAAAACAATTTGGCCGGAATTTGTGGAACGTTTACATTTGTTTCGATATATGCCTAATATACGTATTCTTGTTTTGAATATGTGTTGTTTTTGTACAAAAGCTTTGATTATAATCGTGTAGCTTTATTTACATTGAACCTTCGTACTCGTACTCGCACTAAACACTTAATTTATGTTCCCCTTTGGCCAAGTTGACGCGTAAGAGAGTTCTCTGCTCACTTAAAAGATTTTTAATAATTTAAATTGTTCGGATGAAATATATATATTTTTTATGAAGTTTATCTTCGTTTAAGCTTTATGAAGACAGATTATTGCAAGTTTGTACATATTGTGTTTCTTTGTATATGTTCCAACCAAGTGAAGGTTTCTATCTCTTTTGGTTGAGAATTGAATAAAATAAAATAAATTGTATATGCTCTGCAGTGTTATTTATGTAAAGAGCCATATAAATGCTCGATGTGGTCATTCGGGTCCGATGGCACCTCAAATTTAAAGCTAGTGTTGCAGAAACTTCTTCAAAGTTACTCTGGAGTTTTATATGAGAATAACGAAGTTCTGATAGCGACATTGCTTTTTTTTGTTTTAAGTTCATGCAACAATAACATTCAGAGGCGAATTTAAAAAGTTTAGATAAAAAGTGTCTATTAAAGTTTTCATAGGCTTGTTTTCACACCGGTTTGTGTTACCTTACAATGTAACTTTTATTTTAATAAAGAAAGCCACGGATTTGCCATTATGATAATTCGATAACAGGCCCTTGAAATTATTGCTATAGATCGACTACAATGTAAGTTATTAAATCAAATTTAGATCAGTCTTAATAATGTGACTTTAAATAGGCCTACCTTGCAACTAATCAAAGAACATATTTAATAGTATAATGTAGCTGGGCATTTAACATATTGCGATTAATTATAAGAACAAAAAAGTGAAAAATTAACGTTCTGTGTATATCATTTTAATTTCTTCAATTTCAAACAGATGACCGTTGGTTTTCGTGTATTTTTTGTATTTTAAATTAATATTATGTACCAACTGTTCTCTTCTAATCCGATAAAAATCTGGCCGAATTTTTGCCGATATCGAAAAACAATTTGGCCGAATTTGAAAGATGGCGTGAGTTTGGCCGTGAAGCCTGTCGACTATCTGGCAACCAAGTGATTGTTCGACACCTTTAAACCTCTGTCCAAAATCGATTAAAAAGTCAACAGAAAAGAAATTAACAAGAAAATGTCGATTACAAAGTTTAGGCCATCAGTTTGTCTGACCCCTAATAGAAGGTTGTCATGCGCGATGTTTAGTGTAGATGTAAAGTTGTTGCAAAAATAATCAGGTTTTTTTCTTTCCTAAATTTATTCCTCTATTCATTAGATTTGCCGAACCCACATTTTCAACTATTGAAAGTCTCCTCTTCCTGATATGCCTCTCCTCTACGGGAAAGGCATCTTTCCACTCAGAGATAAAAGTAGTTTCGTCTGCGGAGTGAAGGAATTGCTCATGTTTTACAATAATTATCCAACCAACCAGAATGTAGGTTTTAGGCGCATGGTTATTATTTTAGATTATAAAAGTGAATAAGCATATTTAATAACCAACTAGTAAGCCTTACATATTTATATCATCTAATATCAATCTTACTCACCAAGTCTTGACGTTGTCTTAGTGCGTGGATTACTTCCAGATGTATTTTTGGTTGGACTCATATTCTTCTGTAACTGCTTCAGCGAAGATATTGTATATAGGAAAGGGTTAATTGCCGAGTTGACAGGCAGGATAAATACTGCTGCCCATGCGTACACGCTTGCTGGAATTTTAACTGTGTTTGTTAAAGACAAAATACCCATGATGATAACCGGCACCCAGCAACAGAAATCAGTGGCCACAATGAAAGCCATCCGGACGGCAAGAGAAATTTGCTGGTTCTTCAGCGAGCTTGCTGAGCTGATTTTATTAACACTGTTTCTGGACCTCTTATTCACAACAAAAATTCCAGTGTACGATATGAATATGAGGATGAAACATATCAGGTTTAAACAAATGATGATTGACACTGTGTACTCCCAACCTTGAACTCTCTCTGAAGTCAATGGCAAAGCCAAACACACACTGGTGACACCATAGTACGAATCATTGAAGTAAGCGAAAGGTAACACCGGTAACACACTTAGAATAATCATCAGGATCCAACACACTGCTACTACACGTTTCACTGTCTTTGGTGTTAGATGAAAACTTTGAAATGGGAAAGCGATGTGTACAAATCTGTCCCAACTAATCACAGTCAGAGTAAAGACAGATGATTCACTTGAAAGAACGGCCAATATGCCTGCTGCCATACAAATATAACTCTGTTTCCAGTATTTTGCATGCATAATGTAATCATTGTGATAATACACATCGGCACAGGCGACAATCAGCAGATAAACCCCCATGAGGGCATCGGATACCGCAAGATTCGTGACCAGAAAGGATTGCGTGTATGATTTGCTGTTCTGTCTAGGCCAATGTCGAGCCCTCCAAGCGATTACAAACATGTTTCCCAGGAGTGCGCTCCAACCAAATATCCATAAAAAAAATCTAAGGACCTCGTTCTGCATTAGATTTTTACAAGAAGAAAACACATCGGAAGTTGGAGAACAGTCAACTTCAGTATCAGGGTTCACTAGACAGCAAAATGCATAGTCGTCTGAGATTCTGAAAAAAAAAAAAACAGAATTAAAAACACAAGAATCTAATACTACTTCATGGTGGATTTCCTGCAACACTACACAGCATTTAAGAAAAATTTACTTTGTTTAATTGTATTGATAGATGTCCAATGTCTAGTTCGGATGAACTGAAAGAAAATTTAGCATACAGTCACAGTTAAAATATTGTATTTCCGCGTGTTTTGTGAAAATTGTGTCAAATAATAATTATAACCACAATAAGAATTTGCAATGATGACAAGAACTAAAACAATAAAAACATCAACAGCAAAAACAGCACCGAAAACAGCGACAACACCCACAGGAACGATAAGACCGACACGAATAACAACAGCAAAAAACAATGATGATGATATGATGATGATGATGATGATGATGATAATGATAATGATGATGATGATGGATGATAGATGATGATGATGATGATGATAATGATGATGATGATGATGATGATAATGATGGTGATGATGATGATGATTATGATAATAATGATGATGATGATGATAATCAATTATTACAATCGGAGTCATCAGGAAAAGAGGCGCAAACGTCATCAGCGTACAATGTCATCCCTCTGAATAGTAGCAAAAGAAGAAATAAAACAAAATGGACAGATGACATTGTCTTCTGTAGACACACACGGTGATGATGAAGATGACAGGCGACGAAGACGGCAAACGGAAAGACAGTGAATACGAAGACGGAGAAGACGACAATGATGAATGATAATAATAACAGAAACCATCCATTATTTCTGTCAGATATTTAAGATAACAAACGAAAGAGGAGGGTTTACGGGTGTATGAATACTTAAAATAAATATATAATAAAAGGGTTAAATAATGATCTAGCATCGGGCAATCACCATTTTATTGTGTACTCTTTCAGGTCGAGGAGGGAATGGTCACCAGAAAATGTATATTTTTGTACTCTCTTGAAAATTAAATTATTTAAAAGAAAGGAATGACGTCTATAATCAATGAGGATGATGATGATAACGAATCTATTAATCTAATAATGATTAATAATATAACATTTTATTCACTTATACATAAGTGAGTAACATTACTCCTGAATATAAAGTGCAACATTTATTTTGATGATGGCATTTGATATTTGCTTATAACATACGATATTTATCGCACGTGGTAAATTACCAATTTCATTTCATGGTACACTAATCGATTACACATCTATATAATGTACCTAAGACCTATGTCACATTTACTGTCACAATTCAATTTTTGAGAATCGAGTAGAGTTATGCAATAGCAAGGAATTTTAAATGTGTGGTAGTAAGTATTTGAGCGATCAGCAGAATTTGTGGACATTTTTATTGTACATAGTGGACTGATTTTTGGTATAAAAGCTACCGTTATTCTGTTGGGATTTCAATAAGTACAATGTTCATTACTATTATAGCGTCTGTATAAGCCTACTTACAATCGTTTCAGTTTCTTCAAGTCTTGAAATATGTTGATATCGTAGTCTTTAATAGCATTTTCAGAAATATCCCTGTAGAATATACAAATTATTATTGGTAAATTACTATTTGTAAATTGTGACAGAAATCTGACATCAGATGTATCTGTGGATATATATATATATATATATATATATATATATTGTGTGTGTGTGTAGGTGTGTGTGTGTGTGTGTATGTTAATAAACTGGACAAAGATAGACGTAAGTCTATGACGCACGTTTCACGCTATCACGATCCTCTGATAGACTGATCGCTAGCACATACTGCTCTCTTACATACAAAGGTGTTTTGCATATTAGCCGCGATCAGGTGGAAATTTTGTACGCATACATTTAGATACCTTTTAGCTATGTTCTCACACGGCTGCGTCCATACGAGAAAATCCCGATCAGGATACCAAAAATATGATGATCGAATCACTGGCCAATAAGAAACCGGAAATTGTAAACGCGTACGTGTGATTGGTTGATGATAAAAACGCGCTCAACTTGCTAACCGATAGCGCTTGCTAACCGTTAGCGGTATCCGGATACTGCTAACAGTTAGCGCTAACCGATCGGGCGTTCTCACGCAGGTGCTAACGGTTAGCGCTAACGATTAGCTCCCGATCCGGATACTAGGGCTCTCGTGAGAACCAGGCTATTATTAAGTAGGATTTTTGTTAAATTGAACTTCACGTGTGAATCGGGTATTATTAGCATTAAGGATAGCTAATTTTTGTCCATGCAAAGTTTGCAATTACCAAACGCTGTGCTTTTCAGTCTATCTAAGGATCGTGATAGCGTGAAACGTGCGTCATAGACTCACGTCCATCTATGCACTCTCCCGCATTGGACGTACTTACCTAA